TATGATATAACATATAGAACTGCTATAGACAACTGATTTTAAACATCTTGCTTGGGTGCATAAGGTTGTGCAAAGTAGTATATCACTGGGCCAGAAGAATCAGCCCAAAATGGCTTTGAAAAAAGACTGGTTACATTGACTTACATTAAAATTAAGGAAGGTTTTTTTCCTTCACCTGTAAAGTTATTATTCTGGAGATATGAGGTTTTCTTCCGGCAGCAGTGATATATGTCTTACCCAAACAATTTTTAAACACTTCATATTTACCGTCTTAAATTGTTTTAGCCACTGAAACAGTCATAACTTATTCGTTTGGTGGCTTGACACTAGAGATGTTCTGCCTGAACAGAGTCTTCTTTTTTTTATATAGGTTTTTGCCTTAACTTTTATGGCCAGTGACTGACCTTAAATATCCTTCAGTTAATTAAATAAAAAAAATAAATCCTCTCAGTTTCTTAATTATTGTGCATGATTGATCTTGAGTTTTTTTGTTTATAGCATAGCACAAAGGACTGTGTTCACTGCATTGCGCAATAAGCAATACATGTTAGCAGTCCTATAATTATTGCGTTTCAGATGTATTCATTGCCCTTAGTTTTGCCCTTACTGAGACCAAAATGCTGAGAAACTAATAAAATCGGTCAATACTGGAATATGTGCTTTTTCTGTTTCTCGCATTCACTCCCTTATAAAAATGTATAACTTGAGTTAACTAATGGCACAAAATAGTTATTTTAATGTTTCAAATGGACATATTGCTCAGTTTCTCTATTTTAAGCAGAATGATATGGGACTTCTGTGTGTATAACACCATCACCATGTGTATAACGAAACTATACAACCTCTCAGAAGTGAATGAATCATTCTTCACATCATCAAAATCAAAGGTGAGCAGTGAATGAGACACAGCCCAATGGAAGGGGGTGCCAAGCACTACACTGGACAGTGACTGTCACTGCAGTTTGGCACCAGAGGGGAAAACACTACAGGTGCTTGTGGGTCTGCCACCGGAACAAGATAATGACATGTTGACCATGGCCCTTCAGTAATGCTTCGGGCATGTTGGCCAGACAGCTGCTCCTGCAGAGGCGGAGGTTAAAGGGATAATGGATACCTATAGTGACCAGCTGTCAAGCTGTAACCAAGGCGGAGGGGACAGGTCTCATCCTCTCATATAGATGCTATGGCAAGCAATCCATTGCTATGCAGTAGAGGTATTTGAGGAGGAAACGATCTGTCGAGCAGGCCCTGAGTGAGTGGCGGTGGAGCGACTGATGTGCTGGTGATGCAGAAGGAGCAGACACCACACCAGTCAATGCCACAAAACTGACCCAGTGGGGAAATGGCAGCGGTGCTGTGCAGTAATGGACAGGCAGCCCCCAGAGAGAACAACCCTCAACTTCAAAGCCATAGCCAGGAAGATCAGCTGTCGCCGTGGACTTTGGTTCAAATGGATAGTGAACAAACCCCTGCACTTATAGACAGCAGCTCATCTGTGTTTCTGCTACAACCAGGAATGTTCCCTCACATCAAAAATGACACACCTACCAACGGGAAAGCACCAGCTGTCCATCTTAAGTCCATTACTGGCATCCGGGTCAATACCAGAAGGAGGAAGTGACTCCCAATCATGGTCAGGGCCCTGCGCTGAGTGCATGAATTCTGGCTCGCGCCTAAACAGGATGTGTGCATACTCAGTTTGGATTTCCTCACAGCAGCCAGGGCAGTGCTTGATGTCAGGAAGGAAATGCTTTTTGTGGATGAAATCACCAGCGCCAGTTGGTGGATCCCAAGGGCTTCGACCAGCGCACCTCAAGCAACACGCAGTAGACGTTGGAGACAGTGGAAGGCGGTCTAGAGGAGGGCAGTTGCTGCTGTCATCACTCCAGTAGAACTAGACTTTTTACTGTGAGATGTTAGAAGTTCCCCTGCACCCAGGAGGAAGATGCAGAGCTTTCTTGGGTGCGCGGTTCGCTCCAATTTCAGACAGAAACCTGGTTGGGCAAACACGATGCCACACAGGCCCACAGCTAATGCACTTCATGCTGGCGAAGATTGGATCCAGATGCACAATGAGATGTTGTACCATGTATGGGAGGAACAGGTGCCTGGGAAGTATGTGTGGCAGCTTCTTGTGCCATGCAGTCTTAAGAAGATGGTGCTGGGTACGGTGCAGGGGGTGTTTGGCATGTAAATCGTTAGCGTGGACAAGACAATGAAGCGATAGCAGCTGAGGCTCTACTGGCCGGGCTCCTGCATGGATGTGGAGCTCTACATGCATGGTTGTGACCGGTGCATAGCAGAGAAAGGACCGCCGCAGCAGTCACACACCCCACTTCAGTTTGTCTGCTCTTGCATCCAGAGCAGGGTGTGCCTAAGAGCTCTGCCACCATCTCCATGTCATGTGCTGGGTCAGGATGCACCACTGCAGCCAGGACATGCCATTGAGAGAGGACTGGGGGCGCTTGCTGCCAAGGAAAAGTCACCCTGCAGCACAAGTGATGACCGGAACAGACCAGTGATGACCGGGACAGACCGGGACACCCCACCTGCCCCACAAACTTTGTTCGGACTGTGTCGGTCACCGAGATGGTCGACCCTTAGGAGGAAGCTGACCCCTCAACAGGAGCTTGGGTGGTGTGGCCATGCAGTAGATCTTGGCATGTGTCCGAAAAAGGTGGGCTTTTGTGTGTGTATTTACCGTCTTCATGTGTTGTGTCCTTTTGTATTACCCCCTCTCTGTATTTCATGATGTTGCATGTCATCTTGCTGCTCTGGAAGTGCTGGTTTAACAGAGGATTTGCCCACGTTGTCCAGTTCTTCTTCTGCTTCTATGCTGTAATATCCTCTCCTTTGCAAACCCAAAACAGCTGGTACAATAAGTTTAGGATTAGGTTTGTATGTATGATTTTGCAATGTGTGTAAATGTATATGTCTGTGTGTCTGCCCTGTGATGGACTGGCAACCTGTCAACAACCCCCGCGACCCAGATGGATAAGCGGCTTAGTTAATGTGTGTGTGTGTTTTTGCTCAACAAGAGTTTGTGATATTTTTTGATTACGGTACATTTTTGAGAAATAATAGTGTCTGCAGGACAGCATACTGTAATCTCTGCAATGTCTAATAAATTCTGTTCATTCTTGAAAACTACATGGTTTTGTTTTAATTTGACTCAAGCAATGTGTTAATGCAAACATAATTATAGGCCACACAGTACCAGGATCCAGAATCCATTATTTTTGGAAAAAAACTACATGTGAAAATAAGTGGAAGACATGTCAAATAAGATCATTCAGGACACAGACAGGAATGAGTAGCTGAAAAAAGGACCCCAACTGTACCCCAACTGGGGATCACAACTGCAGTATAAATGGGGTCCACAACTATATCTAAAATGGGCCCTAGAGCAATAGCCCAACTGTTGCCCACAACTGTATCTGAAGCATGGCCCACAGCCGTAGCCTAACTAGTGACCATGGCTGTGACCACACTGGGGCCTATGGCTGTAATGCAATCAAGGACCTGTGAAAAAGTCCACTACAAATCTATGCCCAGATGAAACTCACACAGCCCAGTTAAACCTAAATGAAGCCCACATGAACATTTTAACTGGGAAACATGGCAATGATGAAGGCACCTCCTATAGTACTTAAGGACAACACTTTCAAAGAACACTTGAATAGAAAAAAACAACAGAACCACAGCAAAGATCTTAAACATCACCATCAGTACATTTGCTTCAAAAATATGCAAGTGGAAGGTTCATGGAACAACAACTAGACATTCCTGGAAAGTGTTCCATCAAGATTTCCAGAGGTGAAAAATTCTAGTCCAGAAAGTGAAAATTCTCTATGATTTAGTTTCAACTGCTTGGCTTCTCTAACGATATGAGCTATAACACAATCATTCTGTTCCTACACCCCACAGAAAACTCAAAAAAAAAGAGAACAGAAATAAACGTCTACAATTTGCACACAAGAATTTGGACAAATCTGAACTCTTTTGAAACAATTAACTCTGCTCAGATGAAACAAATAGAAATGTTTGGCTATAACTCAACTCAAGGTTGAACATATGAGCCCAAGAACACCAGACCCACAGTGAAGTACGAAAGTTGCGGCATAATAATGTCAGGATACGTAGCTGCAAATGGCATAGGGCAGGAGTGCTCAATGCTGGGCCTGGAGATCTACCACCCTGCAGAGTTTAGCTCCAACTGCAGGTACTCAAGGCTTTGGGGAGCATCTGAATTTTAGAGCCAGCTGTGCGGGATCCGAACTCTCCAGGGAGGTAGATGTCCAGGACCAGGACTGGGCACCTCTGGTATAGGGGAATTATACATCATTGAAGGAAATGTGAATGGAGTGATGTACAGAGACATATTAGCAAAGAATTTAATTCATCAGCCAAGAAACTAATTTTGAGGAGAAAAAACTGATCAAAATTGAACCACAAAGCTGAAATTGCCAAAATTGGCTTTGCAATAAAGTCCTAATGTCCTAAATTCCTTGTTTAAATATATCTTTATTCATGCTAATGAATAACTACTTTTTTCTTCATATTTTTTGTACTAAGTCAGAATACATTGTGTGCTCATATGAAGTGAATATATGCACTGTGTATTATATTCCTTTTTTTTCTCACTGTATGAGGCAGATTAAATGATTAAGCAGGATATTAGCTATACGCCACTGCAGTAAGCAGCTCCATTACCCACACGTAGACTCTTTTGTTCTAATAATAATAATAATAATAATAATTATTATTATTATTATTATTATTATTATATATTTTTGTATGTTTGCTGTTATAAGTAATGATGTAATGTAACACTGAATATCCGAGTGCCTGACATCAGAGACAAATCAGCCACTCATGAGTCAGTGTGAGGATTCATAGTAAAGTATAAAGAGACATGACCTAAAGACACATCTCTCAGTTCAGTATCACTGAACAACACAACCAGATCAGTTTCAGTTACAGACTTGTGTCTAACTGAGATGGAGAACAAAGACTATAGACAAAACATCACAGTTCAATACTGCTTTCCTTATATTAACTCATCATGCAGAAAGGAGGTGCGAACAGGCCCTGCTTATATATTATTGTTCATTGTTCTCTCATGTGTGTCTGTGTTCACTGTGTTTCTCAATCTGCTGGTCATCATCTCCATCTCTCACTTCAAGCAGCTCCACACTCCCACCAACCTGCTCATCCTCTCTCTGGCTGTGGCAGATCTTCTTGTGGGACTGTTTGTTATGCCTGTGAATATCATGCAATTAATAGATTCTTGTTGGTATCTTGGACAAATTGCATGCACTGTGTCTTTAGTGGTTAGTTTTGTGTCAGCATCAGGGTCTCTCTGTAGCCTGGTGCTCATTGCAGTAGATCGGTACATTGCTGTCACTGACCCTCTGCTTTATTCAATGAAATTCACAGATTGTAAAACTATATTGTTCATAATAGTAAGCTGGTCCTTTGTTTTATTGTATATTTTAATCTGTATATACTCTAATGACCATTTACTTCCATCTCAAATCATCACTACATGCTATGGAGAGTGTGTGATCTATGTTAAATACTCCTGGGTGATTGCTGACATTGTAATTTGTTTTGTAGCCCCTTGTTCTGTCATACTGCTTTTGTATTCAATCATTTTTAAAGTGGCAAGACGTCAAGCTAAAGCTGTTAGAGCTGTGACAAATGGTCCCTCAAACAAACATGGAGCTCAATCCTTAAATGTTTCTGAAACCAAAGCAACAAAGACATTAAGCATTATAATATTTGTTTATCTTGTTTGCTATATACCTTATTATTTAGGTTCTCTGACAGATAAAAACCTCACATCTTCATCAATGGTGTGGACTGTGCTTGGGTGGCTAGTATTTATGAATTCTTTTTTGAATCCATTAATATATGCCATTTTCTATCCATGGTTCAGAGCATCAGTTAAGTATGTTTTAACTTGTAAAAGAGTTGTACATTCATCTTTTAGGGTTAATTTGTTTCCAGAGCATGTTTAATTTTCAGCTGTCTTCAACTATTGTGCCTTGAATCACTTCACAGCACCAAATAGAGATCATCATATATTTATATACTGAATCTGCTTTGCTGGTACTTGTACACAAATGATACATATTACATCTGGCACACTGTAATCAGCATACAGTTGTAAAATATGGCTTCATAGAAGCCTAAATGCTGATCCCACTAAATACATGAAGGAATACATATAACATTGAGGTTATCTTGGTCATAATTTTTGTGCACTTCATATATCATGGTGAATAAGAAGCCCTGAAGTTTCGTATAATCATATAGTAGTGACTGCAGAAAACAACTGAACATTGTGCCAAGAAGATTCAATAGATGCCAAGAGGACATAATAAATGATACGTTATGTTGTACATCTTTTCTTGTTAAGAGTCCATGCCAGCCACCCTCTACCTTTAAATGCTATAGGATGATGGTGAAGCTACAGGTCTAGCCTGAGAATGATGACTTTCAATAAATAAAAATATCAAAATGCACTTTGCTTGTTTACTTATTATTGTAATGCCTTAAACAAACTGATGTTCTCAAGGCCACCTACAAGCATCTGATGTTAACCTAAAAGTGTTTACATAAATAGGTGTAAATAATGACTGTCATTTTTCTGACTGTGACATTCATTTTAAATAGATAACATGAATGATGTACATTTTCAACAAGAGGGAGATAAACATCATTGCCGTCTGTGTAGTATTGATGGTGATCTTGATTTCTCTCTCTATTCATACTGATGTACAAGCCTAATTTTAAAAAGTTTGGACAGGGGCAATTTAATACTAGAAATGTTGTGAAATTTTCTAAAACACATCTTCAACAGGTGATGTAAGCAGTTTAAAACCAATGTTACATATAGAGGATTTACAGGGATTTTAGGTATTTCATCTATTTCACGCTCAGTGGTGCAGAACTTGATCACAAGATTCAAGGAAGTCTCTGTGAATGAAGGGCAAGGCTGAAAACTTCAGTCCCCCTGATGGTTTAATTATATAAATGGTTTGCAATAACTTTTTCCAAAGGAACATGTTAAGAGAACAAGTGAAAGAAGAGAGAAAGAAGGTAAATATGGATAAAAGAGAATAAAAATGAAGCAATATATACAGGGGGACAGTCATGCTGGAACAGGAAAGGGCCTTACCCAAACTGCTGACACGAAGTTGAAAGCATGTAATTGTCTGATATTTATTCTGTCACATTAACGTTATCCTTGACTATAACTAATGTGCCCAAACCCTGAAAAACAGCCTCAGTCCATTATCCCTCCTCCACCAAACTTTACTGCTGGCACTATACATTCAGGTAGGTAGCATTCTCTAGACATACGCCAAATCCAAACTCACCCATCAGATTGTCAGATAGTGAAACATGATGCATCACTCTAGTAAACAGTTTTTCAAATTGAACCACAATAACAATGCTAATCATTAGTAGGGCTTCAAGCACCAAAGGTGTTTGATGATGATCAACACCCAACACACAACACACAAAACTAGTGGAGGGGATTTCCCAGACCATGGCATAGATTCACTTAGCTTTGCAGGAAGGAGTCCGCAAGTATACAGCCGACCTGGGAAGCCTTGTCCTAGGTTAATTACGCGAAATTGTTTTTTTGTATTTTGGTCATTTAGAATTACAATTACAAAGTATTTACATGAGACATATGTTGTTATTTTCAGGACACACTGAGCTACTCAGAAATGTCACTGTTTGACGTTTAAACTTTAAACTATAAAATATACTGTACTTTTATTTTAATTGAATTCATATAATCTGATGCATTAATGGATTGTACCAAGCAGAAGTATGTCAGCTCTCTAGCTCTGTTAAGTCCAGGAGCAGTTATTTAAACTCAAACACTCAATCATCTCAAAATTCAGATGGGGCATGCAAATTTTATTTAGTTTGGCTTTCAAGGGGTACAATGCAATGTAAAATCTTTAAAAAGCCATTTAGCATAATTTTCCATTTCCTACAAATCAGTAACAGGTCTGCTGTAATACGATTGCAAAGCTAAACAGCCTTTACAATATTTACACATTCTGTCAGAAACTGGGTTCCTTGTCTAGCATTCCTTTTTTAAACAGGTCTAACCAATGGTCATGGAATATGCATGACTTTTGACTCCCTATTTTTTTGTCCTATTGAAATATTTGAAAGACCCCAGTCTGGTGCATCCAACCTATATGAACTTTCTGCTTGGACCCAAAATATTACTGTTTTTTTTTTTGTATTATTAATATTTGCTTCAGTTATTATTTACTATTGGTTTTGCTGAATATAATATAAATATTTATTTTAATATGTCATTTTGCATGACAGACATTAAACTTGGTGAATAGGTAGTAGTCCCAGCCTCTACTGAGCCACGTGAGATGAGCTCCATTGGTGGCGCTACAGCATAGTGTTTCATCTTTTGGCTCATATCTATTGATATCAACATGGTGCATACAGATATAATTGTGGGTGCTGCTGATTTGCTTTATACCATAATAAAATTTAGCAAAATCTCAAAAGTCACCTCTTTAAAAAAATCTAGCATTTTTTGAACTTTTGTTTTCAAACTAGCCCTAGACTTTTCATCATATCTAAACAAAAATTTAATTTGTTTTTAAGAAAAGTTCTCATCGTGTGTGTATAAAAATGAATGTACACTTGGATATTCACACGCAACTTTCAAGTAAGACTGACCATTTATGAATCGCAAACAGTAGTAGAAATGAGTGCAGGTGAATGAGTAAAATGTGCACTCTTTTAAAGCATCCATCAATAAATGCTGAAAAGACAGAACAGAGTTCAGTGCACATTCTCTTATATATATATATATATATATATATATATATATATATATATAAATAAATATATATATCAAATAAAACCATTATGTAAGTGTGCAAAAGTATAGCTGTACTAAAAGAGCTGGGGAATAGGAATGGCGTAGTGCTAAAGCAAGAGCAAGTAGAGAAAGATAAACAGCAAAAGTTGCAAGCAATCTTTGTTTTCAAACCAAGATTGTAGGCCAAAGATAGTCCAGACAAGAAAGTAATAAATCTAAAAGGTCAATGCAACCAAACCGAATAGTATGTCCGAAACTCAAAAATCCAACAGGGCATAACAAGAAACGACAAGACTCAAGTTTGACTGAGAACTTCTCTATGACTTCGCAAAAAATATAACACACAGGTTATTAATAGGAAAATAGATCACAAAACAACATTCAGTTGTGCTGTGAGCAGACTACAACTGACATGAGAGTGAGCTCTGCAGGTGGGGAGTTAAATCCCTGGGCAAGGATGTGTCTTATTGACTTCCTAATAAACAAAGGAATGAATGACTGAATGTGTGAATAGTATTTGCCATGCATCCTATTTGCAGTAGCCCAGTAGCATGTGTTGTTGGATCATTCACTCTAGACACCCTGGGCAGCACAGCAGAGGTGCGTTTGGGGCTTTTGATACAGTCATGTGCTGTGGTCTCAGTTAAGTTAATGTTCTGTGACAAATCAGATTCTGCTTTTAAACTGATCGTGACCCAATGAACATACAGATCGTCATCACTGCAAGATAAGAGCATTTAACTACATAAGAAAAGTGAAACTTATCTTAACTTATATTAAAAACGAGTTAGCACCATTGACTTGTTTGCGGTTAGACTTTTTAATTTTTCATGACAGTTCGTTGTTCGCCACTGCCCATTGTCTCATATCATGTGAGGAGTAAGCCAGATTAAGTATCAACTATTAGTGACATTATTTGTTTATTTGTTTATTTTTTAAATATATGTGAGATTTTAATGAAGGAGGCTAGATTTCTTATGAGGTAAATCAAGTGGATGGGTGAAGGTAGCTCTGCCCCTCAGTGACTTTTTCGCCCCCCCCCCATCTCTATCTGATCCCGTCACAAAGACTGACTACTAAAAGTTTGTATGCTATGTTTGAAACTAAGTTTGTAATCTACACACGCTTTCATAATGAAATTCCATTTTTATAAATTACTCGTTTACATTTTCATGTATGACCCTTTTAAGATCAAATCCATGCATACAAATCTTTTATAAAAGAGGCCCGAGGTGTCAAATTATCTGTTCCTTAATCATTTTTAAAAACAACATACAGCTGTCACATACCAATTAATTGTTTCTCATTTTCTCATTGGCTCTTGTCTTACAGGATTCTGAGGAAGACCATCAAATTTGGTGCATGTGTATCAGGGGACACTGCTCAGTATTCGTATATCTGATGAAGCTAAAATCTGAAAGAAATATAAAAGTCTTGAAATACTCCCAGTATTAATGAATTATTATATTGCTTTAGCACTTCTAAATGAAATTACTGAAACTCAAAAACACTTAGTCTTATCATCTCAAAATGTGGATGAAACATGCAAAATTTGATACAGACTGGCTTTCATAGGGGCATGAAACTAAAAAATCATTAAAAAGCCATTTCCTATTAAAAGCCATTCTTTTTCCGATCTCACATGGTTCAGTTTTTAAATATGAACAATTTTGCAATTACAAGTTATCAGAGAAATGTGACTACTCATCCTGCATTTTGACTTATTTGTTTGAAGTCTGCAGCTTAGTATATCAAAAGTGTCTAAAGGTTAATCTGTACAATGATAATTATTCATTTAACATTGGTATATTTTATCGTATATTTTGTTTTGTGTTTAATAAAAAATAGCATTCAATGCTGTGCATTGCGATAGACTCACCAAATTATCTCCATCTCTCACTTCAAGCAGCTCCACACTCCAGCCCACCTGCTTATCCTCCCTCTTGCTGTGATGGATCTCCTCAAGGGAATGTTTGTTATGCCTGTGAATATTATGCAATTGATTGATTCCCATTGGTATCTTGGGAGCATTACATAATCCAATAATTTGTGGTTCCTCAGCATCAGGATCTGTCTGTTGCTGATACTTGCTGCCAGTGACTTTCTGTTTTCTCGAGAAGCATAGTTTGTAAACTGGACCTCAGTCAGTTCAGTCCTTTTCTTTACTCTATGTTTTCATCTATTTTTACACTAATGACCACCTCCTTCCATCTCAGATATTCACTAGATGCTACAGAGAATGTATAACCTATGTCAAATATCACTGACCTGGTAGCTTTTCTAGACCTTTGCTCTGTTATACTGATCATGTACCCAATCATATTTAATGCTTAATTTATAAATTGTTCAATTGGTTTATTTGGTTTGCTAGATATCACTTTATGAACATACATGAATCCACTGATTGTACCTCATTTTTATCCACGCTTTAGAGCATCATCTATGTATATTGTAAGTTGTAGAATATTTGTGTCCTCATCATCAAGGTTGATTTCAAGAGTACTTTTAATTGTGAGGTCAGTTCACAGTGCCTATGTGCTCTCAACAGACATCACTTCTCTAAATAATGTGCTATCAGTCTGCAGTTCATCAATGCTCATCATGTTTTACATGAAGTTTAATGTGTAATTGTGCAGCAGTGACTATAGAACTCGTACCTGATGACGTACCTGAGTCCCTTCTCTCTAGTTTTTCTCTCCTGCCCTTCCCATCGCTTGGAAAACTATGGATGCTTCCCCTGAAACCTGCGCCTCATTTCTGGATTCTCTTTCTCTCCCCCTCATCTCATTCTTTCTTTCCCATCCCCCACCCCATCTCTCCAGACGGGTGGGGCCGGCTGAGCCCACACTGGATGGAGTGAAGCCTGGCGGGTGTGTTGGTGCTGCAGGAAGCCTGAGCACTTCCAAGACCAGTGTCATCACAATGACGTGGAGGTGCTGGTCTGAATACATGGGAGGTTACGTGCTGGCTGGATGAGTGCTTGGTCTGAGTTGGGTGGTGGGGTGTGTGACAGCAGGGGCATGGTCTAGCATCACCTGTTGGGCAGAGAGCTAGTCACAGCAAACCATGTGTGTCTTTAACTGCCTGCCTGCTTATGTGCTTCTGTCCTGCAATAGTTGGTGGGAAAAAAAGAAAGAGATCCTGTTTTTGCAGGTTTGGAATGTTTAAGTTAAGGGGGCTCCCTGGTCCAAAGGCCCCATAGGGAGTAGACCTCTCACTTTCTCCCTTCTTCTTTTAATTCCAAATAGATGAGAGAATTTTAAAAATGACTATATGTTCTGCCTCCTTTTTCAACAACGAGCAGCCTATATAAGCCGTTGGCTATAGTGGTCTGGAGGGGACACTTTAGAATTGGCACGGATCCCCTCTCAGGTACTTTATAGTGCTTGATATGATACTGTTTTACTTTGTAATAAACATCTTATACAAGTAATGCGGTGTCAGCGGAGACTTCTTCATCTTCACATCATTGCTATTTAATAAACAACACCTGAAAGTTTTCTGTCATATTGTTTTATTTTCTTTGTCCTTTATTCTATTTATTGTATTTTTGTCATTGTTATTGTATTTTTATTTTATTTGGCTCTTTGTTAAATATTTGTTAACAGTCAGTTCAGCAAGTTACGTCATGCATGTGTGCCACATCCCAACTGCCTTGACCAACTGCTCCTTGCTACAGTGCACTTCATTGCTAACCATCAGGCAACTAGGGACTGCTGTGTGTCACAGGCATTGCTCTTGGTTAGTGTGCTTGTGAAGGTAGTGACAGATACAAATCACCACAATTTGTAAAAATGTCCAGAAAAATGAAGGGATCCTTTATTTATGTCTAAAGAATAAAGAACAAATCATCTTCTTTTCACTACTGTTTACTTTTAAGGTTAAAATACCTTTTGCACCAGCCGGTTGAGCCCCGAGCACCAAAGAAAGCCACAGGAAGAACCGTATGGCCTCTGAGCCTATAGTGGCGACAAGAGCCATGAAAGGTGAATGTTTGTGCCTGGGTTCCTGAGTGCCGACGAGAGATGCAGGGGGTGGTAAGACAAATCCTGACTGCCATCTAGAGCTGAAAAAATGCGGCGTCAGAACAGAGCCCTTGGCTGACCTAAAATTCTTGCAATCACTCACTGAGGAACTGAATTTTTTTCTGGTGCATTTTTGCAAAGTGGTGAGCCTCAAGCTGACCTTGCTTATAAAGATCTTGGCCTTTCCTGGGCGCTCTGTTTAACCTGTTTTTTGAACATTTCACAATGTTCCTAGTCTTATATTGCCCCAGTCGCAACTTTGTTGGAACATGTTACAGGCACCAATTTCAATATGAGTGTTTATTTACAAAAAAAAGGTATTTACAAAAAAAAAAATGTAATTAGTCAAACATTACATATCTTGTACTGTTGTTCAAATATAGGGCAAAGTCGATTTATAAATCACGGCTTAATGTTTTTATTTCACTATTACTGTCCACATTTCTTTTTACTAGGTTTGTACTGTAGATGTATCAAAGATGTAATATCTTGCACGAATTAAGTTAAGTGAGCCTTATTAGTGGGCGACATGGTGGTGCAGAGGGTAGCGCTGTCGCCTGACAGCAAGAAGGGCCTTTGTTCAATTCCTGGCTGGGCGACCAGAGTCCTTTCTGTGTGGAGTTTGCATGTCCTCCCCGTGTCCATGTGGGTTTCCTCCGGGTACTCTGGTTTCCTCCCACAGTCCAAAGACATGCAGTCAGGCTGATGCTAAATTGCTCCTAGGTGTGAATGCGTGTGTGAATGTGTATGTCTGTCTGTCTGCCCTGTGATGGACTGGTGACCTGTCCAGGGTGTATCCTGTCTTCTGCCCAATGACAGCTGGGATAGGCTCCAGCACCCCACTGTGACCCAGAAGGATAAGTGGTTTAGATGAGGTGTGTGTGTGTGTGTGTGTGTGTGCGCCTTACTAGTCCCACAATGGGGAAATTGCACCATTTTAGTCCATTTTAGGCAGTGAAACACCACATAAACACTAGTGAATGCACACATACTAGGGGGCAGTGAGCACACTTGCCTGGAGAGGTGGGCAGCACTATCCACGGCGCCCGGGGAGCAGTTGGGGGTTAGGTGCCTTGCTCAAGGGCACTTCAGTCACATATTGCCGGCTCAGGGGAGAAAACCAGCAACCTTCCGGTCACAAGGCTGGTTCCCTAACCTCCAGCCCATTAATTGAACATGGCATAAAGGGCTAATGTTATTCACTTGTGGTAATTGAATACTTTTATTTCCCATATTAATTCCATTTTAAAAACATATCTTTGTTTAAGCTTATGCAACTTAAAGTTGATATATGCACTGGGAAGACTACTATATTATACTGGGAAATAACAAAACAAGTGTCTTTTTTTCTCCTCAATGTATAAGTCAAAATCGCTAAGCAAGACGTTAGAATTAAGTAGAAAGGTAAATAGCCCCATTACTCACACCTAGACATTTTATTTTTCAGATATTCTCAGATGTTTGCTGCTGTAATGATGTAATATGACACTGAATATCTGAGTACCTGATGTAAGAGACAAAGCAGCCACTCATATGTCAGTAGGAGGATTCATAGAAAGGTATAAAGAGATTTGCAGAAAAAGGAATCTCTCAGTTCGGTAATACTGAACCCCATGACTGGATCAGTTTCAACTGACAGACTTGCACCTGACAGAGATGAATAACACTGCTTATACACAAAACATCACAGTTCAATACTGCTTTCCTTACATTAACTCTTCTTGCAGAAAGGAGGTGCGAACAGGCCCTGGGAATATATTATTGTTCATTTTTCTCTCATGTGTATCTGTGTGCACTGTGTTTCTGAACCTGCTGGTGATCATCTCCATCTCTCACTTCAAGCAGCTCCACACTCCAACCAACCTGCTCATCCTCTCTCTGGCTGTGGCAGATCTTCTCGTGGGACTGTTTGTTATGCCTGTGAATATCATGATGTTGATAGATTCCTGTTGGTATCTTGGCAAAATTATGTGCTCTATTTATCCAATATTTAATGGTATATCAATGTCAGGCTCTATCTATAGCCTAATACTCATTGCAGTTGATCGGTTCATTGCTGTCACTGACCCTCTGCTTTATTCCACCAGAGTCACAGTTTGTAAAACTTTGTTGTTGATAATTCTGGGCTGGTCCTTTTCTCTACTCTATGCTTTCATCTTTTTGTACTTTAATGATCATCTCCTTCCATCTCAGGCACTCACTGGATGCTACGGAGAGTGTGTGATCTATGTGAAATATTCCTGGCTGGTTGGTAACATTGCTATTTTTTTTCTAGCTCCTTGTTCTGTCATACTGATCTTGTATTCAATCATTTTTAAAGTGGCAAGACGTCAAGCTAAAGCTGTTAGAGCTGTGACAAGGGTTGCTTCAAACAAACACGGACCCAAGGTTTCAAGGTCTTCTGAAGCCAAAGCAGCAAAGACACTGGGAATTGTTATCTTTGTTCATCTTGCTTGTTGGATACCTTATTCCTTATCAGTTGAAAAAATAACATCTTTGTCAGTGGTGTGGACTGTGTTTGCCTGGATAATATACATGAACTCCTCAATGAATCCGCTGATATATGCTATTCTTTATCCATGGTTCAGGGCATCAGTGAAATATATAATAACTTGTAGAATGTTTGTGCACTTGTCTTAAAGGTTTATTTTGCTTACAGAGACTTTTTTTTTAAATTATTGTAGTTGTGTTTACCTGACAAAGTTGCCTCTTACAACTATATACTGAACAGAACTTCAGAAATCCTTTTCTCTCTTAGTCTCTAAATAATGTCTTATTCTGTCCGTAGTCCGTGATGTTTATCATGGCCATAAATCTCTTGTTGTATCAAAATTAATGTGAAATAGGAAGCTCTATAATTGTGTATAATCACACAGCAGTAGAAAACAAACAAATGTGTGTTTTTTGGCTTTGTAGTATAAAAATAAAGTATGTATATGTCCATTTTTTGTCATCATTATGTTTCTTAATATTTTTTCTAATGGCCCATAGTTTGATAGTCAGTCCTTTTGCTATGAGATTTCATGTACATTGTTTCTGGCATTCACATAATTTAACTTGCTGTAGTGAAGGAGTGACAAATTAAAGGAAAAGCCAACATGAACTGTCTTAGTAAAGTGTCACGCCTTTACAAACCACTAGAACAGCTTCAGTACACCTTGGCAGAGATTTGACAAGCCAGAGAGATGGAATACCATTCTTCCAAAAATTATTCCCTTAATTGGTGAGAGTGGAAATTGTTCTCCAAAACTTTGGCCACCTTTTATGGACATATGCTGAAGTCAAATGAGACGTTTTGTTGATTTTCTAAAGGAAAAAAAAAAAAAAGTTACCATGACATATAATTTGTAATTTGACCAAAGCTGCCCAAAGTTTTGTATACGACCGTACAGGTGCTTAATTTTGTTGTTTTGAATAAAAACTAGTAGCCACTCTGGCTTTTTGCAGATAAGATGGAACCCTCTTGGCATGGTTTACATCTAGATTTGTTTGTTTCACATGATAATAAGATTGAACTCAATATTTGCAGTTTTGAGTGCTTGTTTGTGGGTAAAATGTTCACATATTCTAAATATTAAATATAGATTTGTGAAATTTGATTTGATTTTATTAGATTTTCCACTATAAAGAGTTCACAATGAGTTTTCAGACGAATAAGACGGAAGGCCTGCAGTCAATCAAAAACAGCTGCAGCAGTGATCATCTCTGTTCCTTCAACCGACACAAAACTCATCTAGTAAAAAAAGAAGCACAGAGATCTAAAATTTGCACACAAGCATTTACACACATCAGAACACTTTTGGAAAACTGCACTTAGGTCAGATGAAAGAAATAGAGGACTGTGACAATAATTTAACTCCTAATGTTTGGAGAAAGAAAGGTTGAAAGTATAATCCTTATGAATACCATACGCATGGTGAAGTATAGTGGAGTATCATGAAATGGGGCTGCTTCTTTACAAACGATACTGGGGTATAACACGTCATCAAAAGAAAACATGAATGGAGTGATGGACATATTAGAGAAGAGTCCAGGGTGAAGATAGGCCAAAACTGAACCACAATGTTTCAAAAGCTAAACACCCAATTCCAAAAAAGTTGGGGCTTTATGTGAAATGCTAATAAACACAGAAAGCAATTCTGTTTCTACTGTTTTGCTAATATTAGGCACTGTAGAGGGTGAAATACCTAAAATCCTTCCAGCTGCTCATTGAAGAAAGGTGTTTTTAAACTGCTGGATTTTTCCTTGATGCATTTTTTTGGTAAAGTGGTGAGCCTTGACCCATCCTTACTTAAAGTACTAGGCCTTTCTAGGATGCTCCTTTTATATCCAAGTATGATTAGATCACCTGTTTAAATGTTTTTTTTTGAACATTTCACAAAATTCCTAGTCTCAAATTGCTCCTGTGCTTTTTAAGAACATTTTGCAGACATCAATTTCAGAATAAGCATATATCTACAAAAACAATGAAGCTGATAACAAAGCTGACATTTTACCTCATACAAGAGCAGTATTTAAGACTTTAAAATATAGCATACAGTAAAGTTAGCCAGGTCCAGCAAGACTGCAAATGTGGTGTGAGAAAACACACAGATGCACAATTCCACTTTAAAACCACACCACTAAAATGAAGACCATATCTCAGAGCACTGAGCTACCGCACTAACCACCAGTTAATGTGCTGACCTCAAGGTAAAGCCTGAGTGGACACTGTTAACATGCTAACCGCGAACTAATCCGCTAGCTAACGTGCTGACACACTAACTGCAAACTAGCACGCTGGAAAATGTGCTAACACGCTAACCACGATCTAACACACTAGACCACAAGCTAACATGCTAACTGCGAACTAACACGCTAGCTGATGTGCTAACATGCCAGTCTCAAACATGGGACTGCATCTTAACTTTGACGATTATGATAAAGAATGTACAGGATAGTGTTAAACAGAAATATATTTCTACCTTTAAAAAAATCTTGACTATAGTCGACATACGAAATATGTCTCATATATTTTTCTCTTACAGGTTACACACACTTTACACGTGTTACATACATATTAACCAGAGGCAGTTGTAACTATATTTACTATATTTAATATTATATTTAATTTCTTCTCTGAGTGTGTCAAATTATTGTACTTTAAAAGGAATTTAAATTAAAATGCAAATTAATTTAATTGTCATGATTTGCAGTTAGAGGATGTAGGACAAGTACAGCGCAACAGTTTTTAAGAACACAATATTAGTCAAGGCCTGCTGTTGTTTTTTTCTTTTCTTCTTCTTCTTCTTCTTTTTATTATTATATAAAGATAGAGGTTATCATGGGCCTTATTTGAGCTGGATTAGTTTTACCAGAGGTGGTTCAGTAGTGTAATTTTGTGCAGGGGAGTATTTCACAAAGCAGATACCTTTAGCCTGTCTAATTGGAAAAGAGTTGCGGGACATTCCTATTGGATCATCATCATCTTTGAGCTTAAGTTATCTGGCTAACTGAGACATCCTGCTTTGTGAAATGCCTCGCCAGGTTGTGTCTGGCCAATTCATACGGGATAAATTATCTGTAAATTTTCCCTTTACTCAGACAGCCTGAATGTACATGGCAGCAGAACACATCCATGTTACGATTACAGAGGCCTGTAAAAACTAAAGGCATTGCAGGTGCATACTGGATGTACTCACTTACATTATGTGGCCTAGATCTGTTTTGTAATATGAGGGTGTGGCATGCGCCCGCCCCCCTGGGCCCCAACAATGACGGCCGCGAGAGCCGGCAGGAAGGCAGGGCCCGAACACCCAGCGGCGACAAACCTCGGCCAGGACGGCGGGGAGAGAGCCGCAAGTGGGGAGGGGGCGGAGCGCAAAGCCCAAGCTCCTCAGAGTAACCCGAGTGACGGCGGGAGAAGGAGGAAGATGACGACGTGCCCTTAATGAGAGCCAGCTGTTGTTGATCTGGCTGGCAGCGTGAGCGCCTTTTAAAAGAGCTGAGAGGGAACAGAGAGCGAGAGAGGGACAAGCAGCAGCAAAAGACTGAGGAGCTGAAAAGCTTATTTAGGAGAAGGACTGAAAGGTCTAGCCTGCTTAAGCCACTGAAAAGTGGCCAGCATAGTTTGGTTGTTTTGAGTTGTGTTGATTTGTTAATAAATATGGCTGCTGCAACTGTAAACCCTGCCTCCAGCGTCCTCCTTGAGCCCGGGCTAGCACATGCCGTGCTACAGAGGGGCATATTAACATTTAAATATGTGGGACACTTTTGGTTCACATACTGTTTGCCAGTAGACAACTTTGCTATATCAGTATGTATATATGTGTCAGAAGTGAACCAGATCTGTTTAGGAACATGTGGGCCAAGTCCACATCTTCGATATGTGAGCCACCTGTGACTCACATGCAGGTTACCAATGCCAATGGTGGACTGGCAGTGCCATACCTGTGCCAGAAGTGGCCCAGATCCGTTGGAACATGTGGGCCAATAGATTGTTTTTCATATGTGGGACACTTTGGTTCACATACATTTTGCCAGTAGGCAACTTTACTATATCTGTGTCAGAAGTTAACCAGATCTGTTTTAGGACATGTGGGCCGTAATGTTTTTATATATATATATATATATATATATATATATATATATATATGGGAGACATATTTGGCCACATTTGCCAAAAGGCAGCTCTGCCATATCTGTGCAAGAAGTGAACTAAATCTGTTTTGGGACATGTGGGCTGTAATTTTATTTATTTATTTCATTTAATATGTGGGACACATTTGGCTCACATGCCATTTGCCGGAAGGCAGCACTGCCATATCTGTACCAGAAGTGGACTAAATCTGTTTCAGGACATATGGGCCATATGCATATTCTCATATGTGGGCCACTTTTAGCTCACATGCTATTTGCCAGTAGGCAGCAGTGCCATATCTGTGCCAGAACTGGACCAGATCTGTTTTGGGACATGTGGGCCATTAGATTTTATATGTGGGCCACATTTGACTTATATGCTGTTTGCCAGTAGAAGTGGACCAAAACCGTTTTGGGACATGTGGGCCAAATCTGCGTCTTCAATATGTGGGCCATCTGTGACTCACATGCAGGTTGCCACTGCCGACGGTGGACTGGCAGTGCCATACCTGGGCCAAAAGTGGCCCACATCTACATTCTATCTGGAATCTTTGTTTATGCCTCTGAATACGTATGTTTTGTTCATATTTATTAGTACAAATTCAGAACAGTATTTGTGTTCATATGAAGTTGATGTAAGCACTGTGCATATATGCTCTTATTTCTTCTCCCTGTATGAGGGCAGATTAAATGACTAAGCAGGACATTAGCCACAATAAACAGCTCTATAACCCACCCCTAGACTGTTATATTGTTTTAGATATTTTCAGATGTTTGCTGCTGTTAGTAATGATGTAATATAACACTGAATATCTGAGTGCCTGACATAAGAGACAGATCAGCCACTCATATGTCAGCAGGAGGATTCATAGTAAAGTATAAAGATACATGCCCAAAGGACAAATCTCTCAGTTGAGTATCACTGAACATGACCGGATCAGTTCCAGTTGTAGACTTGTGTCCAAATGAAATGGAGAACAAAGACTACAGACAAAACATCACAGTTCAATACTGCTTTCCTGACAACAACTCATCTTGCAGAAAGGAGGTGCGAACAGGCCCTGCTTATATATTTCTGTTCATTGTTCTCTCATGTGTATCTGTGTTCACTGTGTTTCTGAATCTGCTGGTGATCATCTCCATCTCTCACTTCAAGCAGCTCCACACTCCCACCAACCTGCTCATCCTCTCTCTGTCTGTGGCGGACCTTCTCGTGGGACTGTTTGTTATGCCTGGGAATATCATGCAATTAATAGATTCCTGTTGGTATCTTGGACAAATTGCATGCACTGTTTCTATAGTGGTCAATTTTATTTCAACATCAGGGTCTCTCTGTAGCCTGGTTCTCATTGCAGTAGATCGGTACATTGCTGTCACTGACCCTCTGCTTTATTCAATGAAATTCACAGTTTGTAAAACTGTATTGTTAATAATAATAAGCTGGTCTTTTTCTGTATTGTATATTTTCATCTGTATGTACTCTAATGACCATTTACTTCCATCTCAAATATTCACCACATGCTATGGAGAGTGTGTGATCTATGTTAAATATTCCTGGGTGATTGTTGACCTGGTCTTTTTTTTTCTAACCCCTTGCTCTGTCATACTAGTCTTGTATTTAGTCATTTTTAATGTAGCAAGGCATCAAGCTAAAGCTGTTAGAGCTGTGACAAATGGTGCTTCACACAAGCATCGAGCTGAAATTTCAAATGTTTCTGAAACCAAAGCAGCAAAGACACTTGGCATTATAATATGTGTTTATCTTGCTTGCTATATACCTTATTATATAGGTTCTCTGACAGATAATAACTTAACATCATCATCAATGGTGTGGACTGTAGTTGTCTGGCTAATATACATGAACTCCACTGTGAATCCACTAATATATGCCATTTTCTATCCATGGTTCAGAGCATCTTCTAGGTATATTGTAGCTTGTAGAATATTTGTGCACTCATCTTCAATGTTTAATTTGTTTCCAGAGCATTTTTAAGGTTTAACTTTAATTCACCTTACTATGTTAAAATCAGCAGAGGTGGAAAGAATCATATATTCATATACTGAATTTACTTTCAAGGTACATGTAAACAAATTGTGTACATTACATATGGCTTATATATCAAAATAGATTATAAATAAGATAAAATCCCACTGAACACAATAATGAATAAATAATCTATGTAGATTATTATGGCCATGATTTCTCTGTTGTATTCTATATACCATAAGGAATATGAATTACTGACATTTTAAAATCAAACAACTGTGACTGTAGAAAACAACAGTAGGAGGTAAAAGGAGATAATGATGATAATAAGAACGTTATACATATACATGTGCCATTATTAAGAGCCCTGTCCATGTCAGTCACCCTCTACCCTTCAATACAGTAGGATGATTATGAAACTGATGACTTTCAATGAACATAAAATTCAAATGTAATTTGACTGTTTACTGACTATTCTTATGTCTTACACAAGGTGATGGTCTCATGATGCCTCCCACCAGCATCTAACATTTACTTAGATATGTTTATGTAGGTAATAAATGTATCATGTTGCAGGCTGTGGAAGATTCATTTCACCATAAGAGCTACATTATGTGTAAAAGATTGATGAAAAGACATCAGGGCTAACTGGTGTGACACTGGCTCTTTTGTAAGTTGTTGGTGGAAAACAATAAAGTTGTCACAGGCCCTCTGCATCATGATCTTCAGCATGATTGCTGTAAATGGGCATGGGGGACAAAGTACAATACAATGCAGTCCAAACCCAGCTTTTACTGTGCTTTATAACCACAGACCACATTCTAAGGCTATGTATGCACTACAAAGATCATAGCTTGATGTTACCCCCATCTTGCCCCTTTCTGACAAGTTTTCAAAATCAGAAATGAATCTCCAGATCAGGAGAGCAATCAGAAGTAACTGACATCATGGGTGATCCGGTAGTGTGAGAGGGGACTTCAGAAGTCCACCATGTCTACACCAGACCAGATCATGACCAAATGTTGAGACTCTAGGTAAAATGATCTATTTTGGCTGGTATTTATAAGTGCTGTCACAAAAATTCCATTGTTTAAGATTAGAGTTTGCGTACACTCTTAGGGTTCTTTAGAAAAGAAAATGGTTCTACATAGAACTATGAACACTATGAATTTGTTAGAATGTGTTGTAGATGGTTCTGTATGGAACCTTTTAGAAAAGTCTTCTATATAGCACCCAAAAGTGTTCTTAGATTGTTACGATGTCAAGCTTGTAACAAGCTTGGGCCATGAAAGCTGAGGCAATGGGTGAAGGTGCAACAAGCTCTCTCTCTCCCTTTCATGCTGGGCACCCCCCCTTCAGCCACTCTCCACAGCTCTTGGAGCTGTTTGAATCCACCTATGATTGATTGATTGCTTTGTAAACAAAACCTATGTAATACATCAGATTTAATGGATAAACAAAATTGATCTCATTGGCAGTTCGGCTAAAATGACCTGTATGGTTAAAAACTGAAGAATTATGAAAGATCTTTAATTTTAGGGAAGATAAAAACCCTAAGGGTCTATATGTCGGCCCACACTTTACAACGCTTTTGAGTGCTGTGTAGGACCCTTTTCAAAACTTTCTGAAGGACCCTTTCATAATGCAAATGACTCTTTAATCATGCAAAGGGTTCTTAGAGTGCTCATGGTTCTATATAGAACCATTTTCCTTTTTTACGAATGTTGATTAATTGACTCATAAATACACTTGATGGCACTTCAGAGCTCTTGCTTTGGGAAACAGTTGACTGGTTGAACACGTTTCTGCCAAACACAAAGCCCCAAAATATTTCATTTCTGTGGAAACCAATTTTACTCCAATGCTGGCTATGTTGAAACACGAGACTAGGTAGGCTTAGAATCTTACTAACAATGAGAGGGAAAGGCCATTTGACTGACATGTTATATGTCCAGTCGCAGGCAGTTTAGTGCAGTGTATCCACAACAAAAACAAACTTGGGTTAAATAACGTGGAGTACCAGTTATTAAGTTGCTACTAACTGGTTCAAAATTCAGGAATATCTTTTGAAAATGGAATAGGATGAATGTTTTACTGGTACAGTGACTGTATCCTGCTCTGAAGGGTGCACTGGCAATCAAAACTGACAACTGATCACTCTAGACTTTAGATTGGTAAACAGTCATGTGTTTCCCAGCAGACTGATATCTCTAGTACAATTAATAGCCAGAGTTTGAATTCTTAGTAAGAGATGTTATTCTGAGAGTCATGATTTTAGCATACAGTTTACATCGGTCTGTGTAAGTCTGTGGGCAAAGTGTCTGAATGTCGGCATAGATCAGGCCTCAGCAAGTCAAGTGTGATCTCAGTGGTGTAGTCTATGTAGCCCCTGCACCCCATGGTACCATGTGAGGCTGATGTTGTGTGCTCCACTGCGTGTGAACTTGGTTACCTGTGAATGTTATAATTAGGAATTAAAGCAGTAAAGGAAACTTCTATGTTTAATTTGACTTAAATTTACTCACTTTGCCACCACAGTGGCCATCTTATGAGGGCAGATTAAATGACTAAGCAGGACATTAGCCACAGTAAACAGCTCTATAACCCACCCCTAGACTGTTATATTGTTTTAGATATTTTCAGATGTTTGCTGCTGTTAGTAATGATGTAATGTAACACTGAATATCTGAGTGCCTGACGTGAGAGACAGATCAGCCACTCATATGTCAGCAGGAGGATTCATAGTAAAGTATAAAGATACATGCCCAAAGTACAAATCTCTCAGTTCAGTATCACTGAACATGACCGGATCAGTTCCAGTTGTAGACTTGTGTCCAATTGAAATGGAGAACAAAGACTACAGACATAACATCACAGTTCAATACTGCTTTCCTGACAACAACTCATCTTGCAGAAAGGAGGTGCGAACAGGCCCTGCTTATATATTTCTGTTCTTTTTTCTCTCATGTGTATCTGTGTTCACTGTGTTTCTGAACCTGCTGGTGATCATCTCCATCTCTCACTTCAAGCAGCTCCACACTCCCACCAACCTGCTCATCCTCTCTCTGTCTGTGGCGGATCTTCTTGTGGGGCTGTTTGTTATGCCTGTGAATATCATGCAATTAATAGATTCCTGTTGGTATCTTGGACAAATTGCATGCACTGTTTCTATAGTGGTCAATTTTATTTCAACATCAGGTTCTCTCTGTAGCCTGGTTCTCATTGCAGTTGATCGGTACATTGCTGTCACTGACCCTCTGCTTTACTCCACAAGAATTACTAATTGTAAAACTGTGTTGTTAATACTAATAAGCTGGGCTTTTTCTGTATTGTATATTTTCATCTGTATGTACTCTAATGACCATTTACTTCCATCTCAAATATTCACCACATGCTATGGAGAGTGTGTGATCTATGTTAAATATTCCTGGGTGATTGTTGAACTTGTCCTTTCTTTTCTAGCCCCTTGCTCTGTCATACTGGTCTTGTATTCAGTAATTTTTAATGTGGCAAGACATCAAGCTAAAGCTGTTAGAGCTGTGACAAATGGTGCTTCACACAATCATGGAGCTGAAATTTCAAATGTTTCTGAAACCAAAGCAGCAAAGACACTTGGCATTATAATATGTGTTTATCTTGCTTGCTGGATACCTTATTATATAGGTTCTCTGACAGATAATAACTTAACATCATCATCAGTGGTGTGGACTGTATTTATCTGGCTAATATACATGAACTCCACTGTGAATCCACTAATATATGCTATTTTCTATCCATGGTTCAGAGCATCAGCTGAGTATATCGTAACTTGTAAAATATTTGTGCGCTCATCTTCACGGGTTAATTTGTTTCCAGAGCATTTTTAATGTGTAACTTTAATTCACCTGACTATGCTGAGATCAGCAGAGGCAGAAAGAATCATATATTCATATACTGCATTTACTTTCAAGGTACATGTAAACAAATTGTACACATTACATATGGCTTATATATCAAAATAGGTTATAAATAAGATAAAATCCCACCGAACACAATAATGAATGAATTATCCGTGTAGATTATCATGGCCATGATTTCCCTGTGTTATTCTATATACCATATGGAATATGAATTACTGAGATTTTAAAATAGAAAAGAACAATAGGAGGTAAAAGGAGATAATGATGATAATAAGTACATTATACATATACATGTGCCATTATTAAGTGCCATGTCCATGTCAGTCACCCTCTACCCTTCAATACAGTAGGATGATTATGAAACTGATGACTTTCAATGAACATAAAATTCAAATGTAATTTGACTGTTTACTCACTATTCTTAAACAAGGTGATGGTCTCATGATGCCTCCCACCAGCATCTAACATTTACTTAGATATGTTTATGTAGGTAATAAATGTATCATGTTGCAGGCTGTGGAAGATTCATTTCACCATAAGAGCTACATTATGTGTAAAAGAGTCATGAAAAGACATCAGGGCTAACTGGTGAGAGACTGCCTCTTTTGTAAGTTGTTGGTGGAAAACAATAAAGTTGTCACAGGCCCTCTGCATCATGATCTTCAGCATGATTGCTGTGAATTGGCATGGGGGACAAAGTACAATACAATGCAGTCCAAACCCAGCTTTTTCTGTGCTTTATAACCACAGACCACATTCTCATGACCGTAGCTTGATGTTACCCCCATCTTGCCCCTTTCTGACAAGTTTTCAAAATCAGAAATGAATCTCCAGATCAGGAGAGCAATCAGAAGTAACTGACATCATGGATGATCTGGTAGTGTGAGAGGGGACTTCAGAGGTCACCATGTCTACACCAGACCAGATGATGACCAAATGTTGAGAGTCCAGGTAAAGTGATCTATTTTGGCTGGTTTTTATGGGTGCTGTCACAAAAATGCCATTCTGTTTAAGACCAAAGATGCAGAGTAGACGTTGCATACACTCTTAGGGTTCTTTAGAAAAGAAAATGGTTCTATATAGAACTATGAACACTATGAATTCTTC